CAAGGAAATACAAGGAAACTAAATGGACCTAATTTGATAGAGTAGGTAAAATCTTTACATTCTTAGGATACTGACTTAAGAAGACCTCAGAAACACAAAGCTCTTTTTAAAAAGAAAAATTTATTGGAGTAGAGTTGCTTTACAATGTCGTATTAGTTTCCACTCTACAGCAACATGAATCAACTCTGCATGCGCATTTATCGCCTCTGTTTGGATTTCCTTCCCATTAAGGCCACCACAGAGCGTTGAGTTTCCTGTGCTGCACAGTAAGTTCTCATTGGCCATTCATTTCATTCATCGTGTGTGCATGCTCAGTCGGGCCTGACTCTTTGCCATCCCACTAGGCTCCTCAGTCCAGGGGAGTTTCCAGGCAAGAATACTGGAGTGGGCTGTCATTTCTTCCTCCTGGGCACCTTTCCAAACCAGGGACAGAATCCGTGTCTTCTTGGGTCTCTTGCATTGCAGACAGATTCCTTACTGCTTGAGCCATCACGGAAGCCCCCTCTTTATACATCAGTGTATACATAGTGTGCATAGGTCAATCCCAATCTCCCAGTTCATCCCAGTACCCCACTCCCCCCTTGTTGTCTGTACATTTGTTCTCTATGTCTGTGTCTCTATTTCTGCTTTGCAAATAAGTTCATTTGTACCATTGTTCTAGATTCCACATATATATATGTTAATATATGATATCTATTTTTCTCTTTCTGACTTACTTCACTCTTTATGGCAGCTTCTAGGTCAATAAAGACTGTCTTGATGACCACATCTCTGCAAATGGCACAGTTTCATTTCTTTTTATGGCTGAGTAATATCCCATTAAATATGTGCCACGTCTTCTTTATCCATTGATCTGTAGATGGACATATAGGTTACTTCCATGTCCTGGCTATTGAACTAGCAATTGGTACAGGTATTATTTTCAGAACTGGTCAGTCTTAACCTAACCCTGTTCTTTGCATTCCCCTTCTGTTCTAAGGTAAGGAATTCACATTATTTCTTTAAGGAATATAAATTAATGAAACGCTCCATGATAAATAAATCAGAAAAACACATTTATCCCAAATTCAAAAAAATATTTATTTATTATCTATTTTTGACTGCATCAGTTCTTAATTGTGGCTCAGGAGCTCAGTAATTGTGACTTAATTGCCCTGCAGCATGTGGGATCTTAGTTTCCTGCTATGTACCCTGTATTAGAAGGTGGATTCTTAACCACTGGACTACCAGGGAATTCCCTACTCCACCTCATTCTAAACAGCACACAAAGAAGTCACATAAATGTGGTATAAGTAAAGTAAAGGCTATTCTTACTGTGAATATGGTGTAAACCTTAAATAATATATTAGCAAACAGAATAGAAAAATATATTAAATAATAAGATATCATGACCAAATGGTCATATTTCAGCAATACAAAGATGGCTCAATATCAGTGAATCTATTACATAACTCATAATATCAATTAAACTATGGAGAAAAAAATTATGCAATCATCTCAAAATGTGCTGACATTTAATAAAGTCCAACATCCATTCATGATTTAAGATACTTTAAAAAATAGGACTAGATAGCTATTTTCTCAATATGAATAAATATATCTGTGTCAACCCAGAAGCCAGCACCATGCTTAAATGGGAAAACATTTAATGAGATGAATTCTCATTAAAGTTAAGAATATGGAAACCATATCACTACCTTAATACTGTTCTGGAGATTGTGGAAACCAAAGAAATGAGGAAACAACATAAGTTAGTGGTACATAATATAAAAGAGGCAAAATTATCATCTGTAGAGTTATAATTGTATATTTGGGTAGGACCCAGAAGAAGTCATTAAAAAGCATTTTTAAGTAAAGAGAATTCAGTAAAAATGGATGGGTGGAAAATTACTATATAGAAATCAATAACTTTCATATACTCACTAGTAGGAAGATAAAATGGAAACTATCTTATTTATAATAGCAACAAAAATGAACATATCTAGTAATAAACAACAATAAATATGTAAGATCTATATGATGTAAAGTTTAGAATATTCCAGAGGGTCATAAAAAAAGGTATGAGCAAATGGAAAGACAATTCATATCATAAGGTTGTAACTAGATTCCCAGTTAGTTTGTAAACTTAATTCCATACAAGTACTCTTCAGGATTTTTTGGGTACATAGACAAGCTATCGCTAAGTCCATATAGAATATCAAACAAGCAAGGAGAGCCAGGAAAGTTTTGAACAAGAAGATCAGTAACAGAATTCTCTTCCTACCAGATGGCAAAATATAGAAAATTTAAAATATGTAAATATATAAAGGAAAATAATTAAAACAGTGTGGTACTGATATATAACAGACAACTCAAGAGAAGGTAATAGATGGTGTGGAAATCAGTCCAAGTACAGGAATCTGATATATGATAAAGATGTTATCTCACATAAGAGAGGAAAAGATGAGTTATTCGCTAAACTATGTTAGGGTAACCAAAGAGACATATTAAAAAAAGAAGGTTGGATTCATAGCTCACATTTATATTAGGGTAATTTCTTCATGTGAACATATAAATGTAAAAAACTTAAAACAAACAAGATTAAAAAAAACTAAGAAGATTCTTCTATAAACTTAGAAAAATATTCTTTCTGAATCATTATAAACATAAAGTTCAAAAGTGATAAAGTGGAAAATTGCTACAACTACTATATAAAATTAAAACTTCATGTGACAAAAATCACCATAAACAAAGTTAAACACAAACAAGAAGCTAGATAAAGCATTTGTAATTTATATCACAAGAAAAAAGCTAAATGTCCCTTTTCATAAAGCTCCTACATAATATCAAGAAAAATAGCAACAACCCAACAGAAAAAAAGATAAAGAAACAACAATTCACAGAAAAAGAAATACAAATGATTCTTTATTACATGAAAAGATGCTCTATCTATTGCCAGTCAGGTTAGTAAAGATTTTTTTTAAAGTTGGGTAACACACTGGTTAGTGCAAGTGCAGAAATAGCATTCTCATTCTCTGCCACTGGAAGGGTGGACCAGCCCCATTTTGATGGAGGACAATTTGTCAATATCTATCAAAATTTTCAATTCACATGTGCTTTGTTCTAGCATTTCCATTCCTAGAAATTTGTCCAACAGGTAAACTTGCACATATGTCAAATGGCCCAAGTTCTTCATTATCATAGTACTGTTTGCAATGGCAAAAGATTTGAAATACTTAAACTTTCCACCATAGGGGACTGGCTACATCAATTATGGTATTGAACACATCAACACAATGGAATATCATGCAACCATAAAATGAAGGAGAAAGTTCTTTATGTACCAGTAAAGACTGACCTCCAAAATAAAATTAAACGTTCAAAAACAGTCTGTATAATACAGTAGCATGCTATTAATTCTGGAAAAAGAAAGAATATGATACATAAATTTGCTCATTTATTCATAAATTCTGTCTGGAAGAATGCCCAAGAACCTGATAACAGTATCTGTCATCAGGGATAGGACCTGGATGACTTAGGGACAGAGAAAGAAGATAGGACTATTCATTTTATGCCTTTTGTACCCTTTTATTTTGAGTCATGTGAATGTATTATCAAAAAATGCACAACGCATTGAAGTTTACGATGTAATAAAAAGGGCATAGTTACATTCCAGTCTGTTCATGTTTATCCTGAATTTGCTGAAAATAAAGTCTATTGTTAATCAATACAGCCTTTTTTTTTTAAGGTAAGAGACTCTTTACTTAATCTGGTTTTAGAATAGATCAAAGTCAAGTCCCTGATTTACATAGTTTTTTGATTAAAGTGCCAAAAGAGAAATAATTTTTGCTTGAAAACTGAAGTTCCAAGATAAAAGTTAAATTTTTTAAGTTTAAAAAAATAAAGTTCTCAACAATAGGGATGGTAGAATCAGTTTGTTTAAAGCAATCAAACAAATATCAATAACAAAAAAGAAATCATGTTGTTTACACTGTTTAAGGGTAAGTACCCCCACTGCAAGGAGGAGAGCAGGGTGAGAGATTACATGTCACTTTTTAAAAATATTTCTTTATTGTTAAATTACTCTGATCTATTGATATATTAATTAATTTTATAATTTTAAAAACTATACTCAGATTTAAATATTTAAAAAACCTAAGGTTCCACTGGTAGCCAGATATACATAAATGTGTTTAAGCTTGTAATAAAAAAACACAAGTTTAAAAAAGACACCAATTTTTTTTTCGACTAGTAAAATAGTAACATAGAAAAAATATGATGCTTAATGCAGGTGACAGTGTTGTGAAAAAGGTACTCTCATCAGTGAAATATAAACTGGTCCCTTTCCCTTGTTTTAACTAAAATTTACAACATATAGTTGTAAGAAATAACAGAGAGAACCCATGAAGTCTTTACCCATATAATTCTCTTTTAAAAAATAATTTGTCAGTGTCAGTTAAGAATCTTTAAAAATCCACACTTTCAACTAACAATCCCATTTCTTGGAAACTATCCTAAAAACATCATTAAAAGGAAAGAGAAAGCTGTGTGCATAAAAATGTTCATTCAATACCATATATAAAATAAAAATATATTCATATATAATACATAAGTTAATAAGAAAATAGTACATTAAATAATAACATATACACTAGGTAGAATATTCTATAGCTATTAAATCACATTTGTGTAGAATATAAGGTAACTGACTGAATGTCAATGTTGAATGTTGATTTAAAAGATATAAAATTTTACAACAGTGAAAAATATTCATATGGTCAATGAGTGAGAAAGAGGAGGAATTATGGTTGACACTTTGTCTCTTTCAAAACTTTATACAACATACTTTCAAATTTAATTTTTTTCAGATTTTTTTTTCCAAATTTTCCAAACTCAAGTTTTCCTACTTTTGTCAGAATTTGAGAAGCAAATGAGGTGAAAGACGGCTACTTATTAATCCAATCAGGATAACTAACTGCCCCGCGTGAATGGGAGACTTTTGCTAGGAAAGAACCACTTACTTGCATCTTTCTCTGGAGAAGGAGGAGGGACCCTCTGCACCAGGCAGGTGCTACTGACTGGCTGCACCTGCTTCTCTGGGGGCTGGGCATTGCCCATGGGCGGCGCCTTCCCCTTGGGGCTGCTGAAGAGGTCTTGGGGGTCCTTTCTTGGCCCAGATTCTTGGAGGGCACTCTCAAAAGACTTGTCTTTGAGTCTGAAGGAGAAGAGTGAGGTCCTTTTCTTGGGAACCCTGGAAGCATCTGGGACTGTCTCCTGCAAACTCACTTTCTCCAGGAGTGTGGGGACATCTTCGATCTTGCCGCAGGGTGGGGACACAAGCGCAGGGAACACCTTGGATGAGCGGCTGGGCAAGCTGTGGCTGCAAAGCGCAGGGGCGGCAGGGCTCGGGGCGGAGGGCTGGGCAGTCCTTGCAGTCGGGGAGCCCAGGGAGAAGAAGGCTGAGGCCTTGCTTGCCATGTCTCTCTTGGGGGATGGCTGATCGCTGTCTTTACTGGAGCTGCTTTTCCGAAAGCTGAATGAGCGAGTATGAGCATGAGGCTGGCTAGTGGGCAAAGTCTTTGACTCTGGCTTGGCCCAGGACTTCCTCCCACCGTCAGAGTTGGGGAGCAGCGGCTCCAGGGACCTCCGGATGGCGTCGGCTATGAGCCGCAGTGGAGACTTGGGTGGGGCCACGCTTCGCTCCCCAGGAGCCCGTTCAGCTGGGGCCCCCATCTTCTCCTGAGACTGTCTCTGGGCTGGCAAGGTCTCTTTCTCTGCCTGAGGGAGCAGCAAGGGGCGGACTGGTTTCAGCACATGGCCTCCTGTACCATTTTTAGTGTTCTTTTGGGGAAGTCGTGCCCCGGTTTCCAGCTGCAAGTTCTCAAGGTTGGAGTCATTCCAATCCAACAACCAAGTCTTCTGCTCTGGAGTGAGAACCAACTTCTTTAAGCCTGACTTCTCCTCTGCCAGCTCTAACCCACCATCCTCTACCCTCCTGGGTCTGGTACTCCCTTCTCCAGGCTTCTCTCCGGCCCAGGGAGACAGCAGGTGGTCTGGCAAGCACCTGTCCTTCCCTTCAGTGGGGTGTGGACCGCTGTGGATGCTTCTGATGTCCCTAGGAGGGGTCACTGCCTCCTGACACCCATCAGAAGCCACCTCTGCAGGGCTGGATGGCCTGGAGCTCTTGAGGTTGTCTCCACCAGGCCTCACCAGGCAGTATTCTGTCCGCTCCAGTACCTGCCCAGGCAGACGCAGGGGGAGATCCTTGGGTGGTCCATGGGCTTTGGCACGCCTCAGAAAGATGGGGGTGGATGGACTGAAATGACCTCTGGAGACCTGTGAGGGGGTGTTGAAAGCTGTCACCTGGAAGGGACAGGCAAAACCAACAGCGATTAGAAGCTCCCACCATTTACTTACATGAGGAAGGTGCATCTCATCCCACAACCCCCTCCCTTCCTCTCTTCAGATCTCAGACACCCAAAGTCAAAAAGAATTCCGCCTAGGGTGATTTCAGAGGGCCACTCTTGCTTCTAAGTGGCTGCCTTGGAATGCGCTAGAATTAGCTAAGAGCCTCCATATCACTGATAAAAGGCTTACCTGAGTCTTAGAGTAGGTGGGTAGAAAGCCACATGGAAGGCAAAGCCTTTGACAAGCTCCCAGACCAGTGAGGGCAGGGCTAGCCTGGCCTTTATGGGTGGCCAGGCACATATGGAAGCTCAGCCATGGTGCCTACTAATGGGCACATCCTACCCATCGGTATGTTCCTCCAACAACCAAGAAACCAAGACTTTTTTCCTTGGAGACCATTAAAGAGAGACAACTACCCTCTGACTTGGAACTGTGGTGGCAGGAAAGACTTTGGGATCTTCCAATAACCCTTTCAGCTATGGGTTTTTTTTTTTGTATGGATGTGAGAGTTGGATCATAAAGAAAGCTGAGCACCAGAGAATTGATGCCTTTGAATTGTGGTGCTGGAGAAGACTCCTGAGAGTCCCTTGGACAGCAAGGAGATCAAATGAGTTAATCCTAAAGGAAATCAACACTGAATATTCATTGGAATGACTGAAGCTGAAGCTCCAATAATTTGGCCACCTGATGCAAAGGGCCGACTCTTTGGAAGAGACCCTGATGCTGGGAAAGATTGAGGGCAGGGGAAGTAGGGGGCAACAGAGGATGAGATGGTTGGATGGCATCACTGACTTAATGGACATGAGACTGAGCAAACTCCAGGAGAGAGTGAAGGATAGGGAAGCTTGGCATGCTGCAGTCCATGGGATCAAAGAGTCAGACATGACTTGGCACAATGACCCTTTAAAACCTGGTTAATGCCTCACCATTGAGAAGGCAATCATTGTCAGCAGTCAGGAGCTTGGCCCTTGGCAGAGGGAGAACATAACAGACTTTAGAAGGAGAGTTGTGTCCTGCCCAGAGCTCTGGTCATGGGACAGGAGCGTCTCCGGAGAATGAAATATTCTGTCTTCATGTTCTACTTCCCAGAGTCTCAAACAGACTCTGGCAGGTAACAGAGGCTTAATAGATTCATACTGAAGGAAGGAGTCCAATCCTGTCTATCTCAGTGATGCCATTTTCTATTCAAGTGAGATGTTGCTTCCAAGGTTCTCCACTGCGACCAAAGTTGTCTGCATTCTCTGCCTGCCACCCTATAGCTGCCAGCTCCTCAACACCCTCTGTGAGGTCATCAGGGCAGAGAATAAGCCCAAGCATCTCTGCACCCCACAGTCCAGCCCAGATTCCAGGCCTTGTAAAGTCTGCTGAGTGAGTGAGTGGCTAGCTATGCCCTTGGTGACTGAGAAGGAGCAGAGTACACTTTTGTGAAAGGTACAAATGAAGAGGCCTGGGGTGGGCTCTTAACAGAGCATCTCTCCAGCCCTGGCTTTGCAATTGGGGTGACCTAAGGCATCTGGTCCCATCACTTCATGGGAAATAGATGGGGAAACAGTGGAAGCAGTGTCAGACTTTATTTTTTTGGGCTGCAAAATCACTGCAGATGGTGATTGCAGCCATGAAATTAAAAGACACTTACTCCTTGGAAGGAAAGTTATGATCAGCATAGACAGCATATTAAAAAGCAGAGACATTACTTTGCCAACAAAGGTCCGTCTGGTCAAGGCTATGGTTTTTCCAGTGGTCATGTATGGATGTGAGAGTTAGACTGTGAAGAAAGCTGAGAGCTGAAAAATTGATGCTTTTGAACTGTGGTGTTGGAGAAGACTCTTGAGAGTCCCTTCGACTGCAAGGAGATCTAACCAGTCCATCCTAAAGGAGATCAGTCCTGGGTGTTCATAGGAAGGACTGATGTGGAAACTGAAACTCCAATACTTTGGCCACCTGATGCGAAGAGTTGACTCATTGGAAAAGACCCTGATGCTGGGAGGGATTGGGGGCAGGAGAGAAGGGGACGACAGAGGATGAGATGGCTGGATGGCATCACTGACTCGATGGGCATGAGTTTGGGTAAACTCCAGGAGTTGATGATGGACAGGGAGGCCTGGGGTGCTACGATTCATGGGGTCGCAAAGAGTCAGACACGACTGAGCGACTGAACTGAACTGAACTGAACGATGCTAGGACTCCAGAGCTCAGTGTGGAAGAAGGGGGAGTACAGGCGTCATCCTCATGCCTGTGCAGGGCCCTAAAGGCACTTACCTGAGGCAGGGAGGGACTGCCCAGGGCGTTCAGGTCACCAGTTGAGGAAGATGAGGGTGGAGAAGGAGAAGGTGGGGGAGGACAAGCTTCCTTTGGAGGCGACACAGTCATTTTGTGGTTCACTGGTATCAAATCTACCAAGGAAAGAATATGCTCTCCATTACAGAGTTGTGATTTTTCCTTATTTTATCAAGAAAAGGGGAGGTTTATCAGTGAAGCTCCACTCTATAAATTGAGTCAGGAGAGGAAGATGCTGGAGACCAATTCAGAGGCCCTGGAGCCTAGAGCCTGGGACTGGGAAGAACAGGCGTAGGAGTATCAGGTTCCTTAGGGGAAGGAGGTCCCAGGACGAAAAGTCCAAGAACCACTATGTCTCACACGCACAAGAGAATGCTCCCGAGAGAGGGAAGAGGGGTCTCCAGGGTTTTTCTGGGAAACGGATATCTACCTCTAATGTTTGCCCTAAAGCCATTGTGATGGGGGCCTGGGGCTGCATTAAATTCTTTCGTCAATAAAGAGGCCATCTGAGGCCTCTTCCCACAAGAGGCTGGACCATTCGCCATGGGCACGGATGGGATAACACAGGAGAGGCAGTCACTGCTAAGGAAACGGGCTCTTCCTCTCACGGGGGCACAAGGGGGCTCTCGGACGAGATGGCCAGCCTGACATTTTAAGAGAACTCAAGAGACAGAGGTTGTAATGAGTATCAAAGCATCTGAAGCATATGGAGTGGGGTTCGTGCCAAGCTCCCTGTTGGTCAGGGAACAAGCAAGAGTGTGTGTGCTCAGATGGACAGGAGAAAGGAGCGAGGCTGGGACTGAAGATGAGCCTAATTCTGAACTGTGGGAGCTGAAATCAATTAGTCTAGTTACAACAGAGTTCTAACAGATGTCGCCTATAAGATCAATCTCATTCCCTCTCTCTCCTGAGGGCACGCACCACTTGAGCACATGTACCCTCTAGGACCCTCAAATCAGGGGCCTCCCTGCTGCTCAGTGGTAAAGAATCCGCCTGCCAATGTAGGAGTCGTGGGTTCAATCCTTGAGTCTGGAAGATCCCCTGAAGAAGGAGATGGCAACTATGCTTGCCTGGGAAACTGCATAGACAAGAGTAGCCTGGCGGGCCACAGTCCACGGAGCCACAAGAGTCAGATGAGACTCAGCGACCCAACAACAACAAACCTAAACTCTCGAGAGTTTTGTTTCCCTATCATACCATTTCAGTAACAGGTCCTCGAAGGGATTCAGAAGATGCCATGCTCACTTGCAGATTTGCCCATCAAGTGTCTGACCCACCAGCCCAGCCAGCTCTCCCATAAGCCCTCCAGGCACATAAAGGCCATTCTCCAGGGAACCTCGCAGGACCACCTGTTTGTCTATCCATTCTTGTCAGACTCCTTACTTCTGGCTGCTCGGCCGACCCATTTCCATTTCCCTCCAAGGCATGAGATTTCAGCTTGCTTCTTAACATGATCCCCTGGCCTCAGTTTCCCCAGACCTTTGGCTGAGAGGTCCCTCTTCTGGGACCCACCCAGGCCAAGCCAAACCCAAGCTCACCGCAAGAGGAATTCCTTCCAGACCACCAGGGAGCCATACAGTGCTCTGTCCTGCTTTACTCCCTCAAATGCAAGCATGTTGGAGCATGCATCCCAGGCCTGGGCTATGAAAAGCTGGCCATACACACGGTCAGTAAGCTTCCCAACGGAAGAGCTCCAGGGGAAAAGGTAACTCAGGGAAACAGATCTGAGAGTGGCAGGAAGGAGCTGCTGGGGACAAAGGCCACACTGGCTGCCAGGAGCTGACACGGGTGGGGGTGGGCAGCTGGCCGGCCTGCCTGTCACCCAAATGAACCCCCATCTCAGTCCACAATCAGATGGTTCGAGCCTAAAAAGGCAAAAGCTGTGAGTCAGTTGTTGCTGTGCTTCCTGTCCTGGGCTTGCCAAATTCCTGCTAAATTCCTTCTCCTCCTCTTCCTCGCCCCCTCATTCTCCTCTTTCTGCCATCTCCTGAATCAAACTCCTGAACTTGTCCCAAAGTCCCCTCAGCCCCACAGACTGCCTCTTTGTTCCTCTGAGGAGCAATCTGGGAACCTTCTGAAACAGAGCCAGGACACTTGGGAACCAAGCTGACAGGAGAGCTTGGGCTTCTCAAGGGCATGACCTGGGAGCTCCCCTCTCTCCTCTTTATCTAATCCCACCCCCACCCAGTGAGTGGGGTCTCTCTCTACATATGGCCTCACGAATGAGGCCTCAGAACTGGAAGGCGGCCCTGAGGAGATGGGGGAAGCAACGCACCTGCCATTCAAGTCACAGCCTGGGAGAGGAAGGGGGCGCCAGAGACCAGCTGAGAGGTGACACGAAGTCTCAGCCACCAAGGCCTTTGGTTTCTTTAGAGGATGGTAACAGGGAGCCTGGAACACCACCCCCTTCACACCCACACCAGCTGGCTGATACTGAGCGAGTTACCCCTCAGGTTTCTCATTTGAAAAATGGGAAGCCTAGTGCTGTTTCATGGGGAAGTTGAAGAAATAAAATGGGATTAAAAAGAGGTGCTCAGCGCAGAGCATAAAGTAAATGCCACAGTGTACAGTGAAAGTCGTTCGGTCGTGTCTGACTCTGTGCAACCCCATGGACGATACATACAGTCCTTGGAATTCTCCAGGCCAGAATACTGGAGTAGGTAACACTTCCCTTCTCCAGGAGATCTTCCCAACCCAGGGATCGAACCCAGGTCTTCTGCATTGCAGGCAGATTCATTACCAGCTGAGCCACAGGGAAGCCCAAGAATACTGGAGTCGGCAGCCTATCCCTTTTCCAGCACAGCTTCTAGACCCAGAAATCAAACCGGGGTCTCCTGCATTGCAGGTGGATTCTTTACTAACTGAGCTATCAGGGAAGCCCTAAATGCCAGATGGTAGCTAAATATGAATCCCATTCCCCCCTCCCACGCACACAGGTGGTGTCCAATAAAGGCACTGCTGAACCGCTAACCTGTTTCAGGGGAGACCACACACACCCACCCTGGCCAGAACTTCTGCAACTCAGGGCCCAGAGGCTTCATTTTCACTTACAACTCACATCCTTCTCTGCTGGCCCTTTCTTGTTTTGCTTGAAACCTTGGCATGGTCCAGCCAGGGCTGCCCTGCCCTCTGCGGCAGCCTCAATCCTGGGTGCTTCTGGCCCTTCCAGTTCCATCGTGCAAAGGGGGTTGATGAACAGACCAGAATCCAGACTGCAGCTCCTCCCATAACCTCCCTCGGTCAACTGCCTCTTCTTTGGGCCATCTGGCAATAGAGACCTTTCCCCCTGATCCGAGAGATCATTCTGGTGAGTGTGTCAGCTGGGGGAGAGTGATAAGGGCAGGCATGCAGCCCACTCCATCCACCTGTCTGGGGTTGGGGCCCGAACCAGCCTTAACAGGGCAGTGAAGGGATAGATGAGACAGTACCCCAAGTTTTGCTCCCTCCTACAAGACCAGCCTTGCCTACTGGGTGTCCTTTCAGGCACCATGAAGATGACTGGAAAGATGGCTCTGGAGATTTTCACAAAGACTGGGATCCCAGGGTGCAGCTTCCCCAAATCCAGAGTGTGGGCAATTCTCAAATCCTCCCAAAGTCTTGGAGTGCCCTCTAGGGGCAGAGTCTGCTCAGGCTGAAGTCCTGTTCCCTCTTCCTACACTCAGTTCAACTGGTGTGGCCCCTGATTCTTTAGTTAGTTCCTCTGTTAATTCATTTATTTATTCTGTAAGCAAGGACTGGGTGCCTCCTCTGCACCAGGCGCATACTAAGTACCAAGGCCTTAGAAATGATTCAAACTCGAGGCCGACCTTCAACCCAGCTTTTGTATCCACTTGTGAACCAACACCGGATACTCCTGGGCTAACTAAAGACATAGCTGAGAAACTAGCCGCTGGTTAGCTGTCTCCTCTCTCCTGTGCCTCCTCCAGGACCTCCCACCCTGCTGGGAGGGTCCCCTACCAGACTCCCAGCTCTCACCGCCCCCCAACCCCCAACCCCCAACCCCCGACCAGGACCTCCTCGAGGGCGAGGCCAGACCCTTCATACCAGTGGTGCTCAGTAAAGTCGGCTGGAAGCACTGGAGGGAATCTGCGCCCAAATGGACCCACCCATAGAATCCCCGTGGCCAGGGAGGGGTTGAGGTGGGGGTAGTAAATGAGATAACAGGTGAAAAAGGCCTTCACAGAAAGTTAATTCCCTCCTTTCCCTCACCTTCCCTGCCTGGAACTACAGAATGGCTTAAGAGTCATTTTAGGTTGTTTCCTGGTGACGTGGCCTGCCCAGGTGTGCGGTCCTAGTCCAAAAGTGCCCATTGTCCCAGCCTGGCCCAAGGGAAAGGGGCTGCAGGTCTTGGGGTTTCGGGGAGAATGACTCAGTGGCCAGGAGTCAGTGATGACTCAGAAGGAAGAAGTCAACTAAACTAGCATGCTAAAAAAAAAAAAACAAGACAAAAAACCTAGCATGCTATTCCAACTTCTTTTTCTATTTTTGTCTAACCCAAGGCTTTCCTGGGTCCACCTCTCTTATAGCAAAGTCTGGAGAAGGAGCGTGAGGGCAGCGATGGGACTGGAATCAGATGAAGAGTCCGCGCCCGCCCTCAAGATTGGAGAGGGAGTTTCTGCTAACTAGGGTGGCGCCAGGCGCGGGCTGGCTCTGGGACGTCGCCAACCGTGCGCGCAGTCATTGCGCCCCCTAGAGGGAGCCTGCTGCCTTGGCACCAGCTGCAGGCCCTGGTCCTGGTAGCCTGCTCAGAGAAAGAAGTAGGGGTGTGGGTGTGGGTGGGTGTGGGTGTGTGTGTGGGTGGGTGGGTGTGTCTGTGTCTGTGTGTGTTCTTTCACTGCTTTACCCACTACTGCTCGAGGTTAAGCTGACGGCCCCAGCCCAGTTCCAGTGTCCTGAACCAAAACGTACAGAGACCCTGGGCCAGTTTCCTCATCTTTGTTTCAAGAAGCTCGGAGCTCGGGTCCCTTTCAAGTGCAGTTGTGAAGTTCTAAGGCTCGCTGAAGGTAGAGAATCCCTTGGAAAGTGCTTTGTCTAGTGAGCAGCATAGACTCAAACATACATTTCTCTCCTTTCCCCTCACACCCGGGAGGCCAGTTCAGAGAGGACATGTGAGGAGTGAGAACAGCTGCCCCTGAGAATTAACCAGACAGCTCCTGCCCGCCCCCACCTTCCCCAGGGAGCTCATGACTCACTGCACTGGAATCTTCTCCCACTCTGGTATTCGCTGGGAGTTGGACATTGGAAACTATTGGCCCGCTGCAGAGCTGTGGTGGGAAAAAGAAAAAGGCAGGGGAGATGAGGAGGGAGGAAGAGTGTTAAATGGATAGGAAAAATAGGGAGTTGTCTCCTATGGCCCATTTATCAAAAGCTGACAGACTAATGGTCATAGTTGACTGACCCCTCCCTGTCCCAGTAACACACACCTCCAACTTTTCATTCATTCAGTCATCAAACATATTGAGACACTGCTGGGGGCCAGGTACTGCCCTCTTTCAGAAAAGACCTCAAATTAGGTGCCATCATTCTAACTCACCCATTGTTAATAAGCATGTGTGCTTACATGTTTATATGCATACATGTATACATATATGCCTATATGTACACATGCATATGTAACACATCTGTTTTTAGCAGAGCAGCTCTTTGAAGCTGAAGTCTAACATCAATGCCACAACCGCGTCATCGAGGAAACATAGCTGCTCTCACTGAAGCCTGGAAGCTGCAGAAAACGCCAACCTCTCTCCGTGTTACCCCCAGAGTCCCCAGGCCCTTTCAATTTTAACTGAACCCCTGTACAATCCATGGCCACGACCCCTCCTCTTGGCCTGGTTCCAATGGAAACACACTTGCAGGATGCCTTGGGTTGGGCCATGAGAATCAGCAAAATGAACATCACAGGCAGAAGAAATGGATCTTGGCCATTTGGGCCCTGAGAGTGGGCAGAGGGATATAAATGTATCCCATTCACACACCAGGCCCTCAAATTTGGCCTCTGTGGTGGCCCTGTTTTCTGGAGGCATCTGGGGCACTTATACAAACACAGATATTGGCCCCCACTGTAGACCCAAGACATCTGAGTCTCTGAAGGAGGGAACCTAGGAACCTGCCTCTTAAACGGGATTTTTTAGGAACCACTGAACATGGTGTTTTAGGGGAGCATTACGGAGTGTTTTCTCTGACCTCTATTATACAGGGCTTAAGTTCTATTTTAACCATCATCATGGGCATGCTCTATGCTAAAAACTTTGAGAAGGCGACAGGTTCCTTGATAAGCTGAGGCAGTCCCAGAATCCTTTCAAAGGTGGTAAAACATATATAATATTAAAATCACCATGCTAAACATTTTTAAGTTTAGAGTTGAGTGGCATTAAGTACATTCACAGCATTGTGCAAACAATACCTCCATCCATCTCCAGAACTTGTTCTTCATCCCAAATGAAACCCTGTCTCCATTCAACAATAATCCCTAGCCACCCTCTTCCCGCAGCCCCTAGTAACCACTTTTCTATACTCCCTGCCTCTATGACTTGAACTATTCTGTATGCCTCATAGAAGTGAAATCATATAATACTTGTCTCATGGCTGAGTTTCCTTAGCATAATAACTTAAAGGTTCATCCATATTATAGCGTGTGTCGCAATTTCATTCCTTTTTAAAGATGAATAACATTCCATTGTGTGGATATAGCACGATTTGTTTATCCATTCATCTGTTGATGGACATTTGGGTCATTAACCTTTCTGCTATTGTAAAAAATGCTGCTTTGAGCATGGTGTACAAATGGTGTACATTTGGTGTAAAAATGGAGTCTTTTTAAAGTGATGTCCTGGTATTTTTCAGCATCCCTTCAGCTAAACTCTGAGTCATTTATCTAGGTGAAAAGTGTGATTAATGAAACCCTATAGCACCCACAATATGATGTCAACCCTACATTACCTGCTACAGTGACAGACTCACTGTAACCAGCAACATAAAACACAGCACTTAGACTATGCCAGAGATTGTAACCTTACTATGTGGTCTGCTTGGCAATGATGGAAACCATGATGGATGAACACAAAACTGACAGAAGATTGCTTGAAAGTCATGAGGTCTATCCACTTCTGTCAACTATGTTTCTTATTCTGGAATTAAACTGGACTCTCAAACAAAATGCTTTGGCCACGCTGCCTTGATCTCTCTATCCAACCCCATCCTGGGAGAAACGCTCTAGCTGTCATACTTTACTGTCATGCTTTCACCTGCCAGCAAGGGGCTCTGCATAAAACAATCCTGGGAAAACTATGGCTGCATTTTCTGCAGAGCCATTGTGCAAGACACAGTGGAATATCCCTCTCAGGAAATTTCCATAGGGTGAAGCATTAGGAAAAGTGGAACTGAGACCTGCTGCAAACCAGTGTATTTTTTCCTTCTGAATAATGAGAAATTATTGTCTGTTTTCATTTGAAATGTGGCTTCAGGAAAACTCTGTATCAAATGATTCCACTGGAGCAACAGTTTAGGATCATGGTCTGCCTCTCTGAGGTCTATATCTCCTAAACTGGTTTTCGCTTTCATATATATATAGATAGATATCTTGAGACTTTATTTTGAGGCGCTCTTTCATATATAGAGACACACAATTTTGTTTTATGCCTCTCTTGTAAGTTGCCTAAAATCCTCTGGCAATCGAGGAGAGAGAAGAAATGGAGGGAAGGAATGAAAGGCGGGCAGGCTTCATATACATAACTGAGGAGGCTGGAGCCCAGGGAGAGGGAGAGGGAGAGGGAGAGGCCTGCGGTATCCAAGCCTCTGTCCTCTGCATGTGCTAATCCTCTCTGGATAGCACCACAAATGGTCCTGAGCAAATGTGTTTGGATGACAATTTGTCCTTTTAAAAAACAGCTCACATGGGAGGGTAAACCCAGAATTTCCGGGATTCCAGCCCCAGCTCTGGCCTTCCTGTGAAACCATTGCTCCTGAGAACATTTCTAGGTTCACGTGGAAGTTCTGCTCTTGGCCACCAGAGGGCAGCACAGGACAAGTGGCGCTCCGGCTCTTCCCAGGGACACTCAGGCCGCTGGTCCTGATGGTGGCAAGTTGCTGTTAGCCTGTTTCTTCACACCCACAGGTTAGCAGTGGCTCTTGACTAACTCAAAACACTCAATCCGAGGCCACCTTTATTAAAACAAGCTGGAATGCTAAAGACAACTACTTCTTAGAGTGTGGAGCACCCAGCACTCGCTAAGTTGTGAGTCCTTGGGAAAACAGTCCATTTGCACACCTGTAAAATGGGCTTCATGCTACTTACCTCACAGGGTCATCCTGAGGATGAAATGGTGCCATGTATAGGCAAAGCCTTGACCAATACAGCACTCAGTGACAGGGCATTTGTTACCGCACACTCCACAGGCCCCAGGCACTGACATGGCCCTGTGCTGTCCCCAGGGAAGCTATGCTGCCCAGGGCTACCTGTGGCCCAGCAGCGCCTGGGCCCACCTCCCTTCCTTGTGCGCTGTGAAATGCCAGAGGGCCCTCAGGAGATATTCACAGAGGAGACGGCTCCAGGCAAGAGGGTCCTGGGCCGCCCCCCACCGCTTATCTCTGCCTGTGACACACGACGCCAGTCAGGCCCCTCTGCCACCTTCCCACTTGAGATTCCAAAGCTTCCTGTGGAGAGGGAGGCTGGCCCTACATCCAGTCCCCGGACCCCCACGTGACCCAGCTCCACCGCCTCTGAGCCTGAGGGCCTGACGTACTGTCCCACGGTCCTCCATGAGGAAACACTGGCCGTGAGAGTCTCTGTCCCCCTTCCCCACACCTGCCCCCACGTCCCAGGGTCAGGCAAGCCCGTCTCTCTCCCAGGCAGGCTCTTTACTCACCAGGCACAGCTTCGGGCTCCCCAAGGTCGTGTGGAGAGACTGCCCCGGTCAGGGTCTCTCTCAGAGAGCTATGCCGGGAGAGGGGCTTCAGGAAGGCTGGGAGGTGGAGTTCCGGCCGCCGGGGTCTTTCGTCAAAGGGCTCTGCACTGGAGGCCTCACTGTCACCACGGTCCGGCTCTGCATCGGAGCTGGGAGGTGGAGGGACAGAACAGCTGAGCTTGGAGGCCTGCAATCTCCCACCCCCACACTGTGCCCTGCCCATCACTGCCTCACCAGACAAAGGGGTTCCAGGGAAAGGGCTGTAGTTTAGTTGCCTCTGTGCCTGGCACCCAGCCTCTGGCTTTGTTCTGGACTGAACTGTGTCCCCCCAGATTTATAAGAAGTCCTAACTCCAAGTACCTGGGAATGGGGCTGCTTCTAGAGATAGGGTCTTTACAGAGATCATTAAGTAGTTAAAATGAAGGTCATCAGGGTGGGCCCTAATCTAATCTGGCAGGTGAGAGTGAAAGTTGCTCAGTTGTGTCCGACTCTTTGTGACCCCATGGATGGTAGCCCACTAGATTCCCTGGTCCCTGGGATTCTCCAGGCAAGAATACTGGAGTGGGTTGCCATTCCTTTCTCCAGGGCATCTCTCCCACTCAGGGATCGAACTTGGGTCTCTTGCATTGCAGACAGATTCTTTACCATCTGAACCAGCAGGGAAGCCTAATCTGGCAGGAGTCCTTATGATTTTCCTTACAAGAAAATTTAGACACAGGCATACATAGAAGGAAGGAGCTTCCCAGGTGGTAAAGAACCCACCTGCTAATGCAGGAGCTGTAAAATATGCGGGTTTTGATCCTTGGGTCGGGAAGATCCCCCAGAGGACGACATGGCAACCCGCTCTAGTATTCCTGCCTGGAGAATCGCTATGGACAGAGGAGCCTGGCGGGCTGTGGTTCATAGGGTCACAAAGAGTTGGACACGACTGAAGTGACTCAGCATGCACTCATACATAGAAGGAAAATGCCACATAAGTGAGAAGACCACCATCTCCAAGCTGAGGAGAGGGGCCTGGAATAGTCTCCCCTCATGATCCTCAGAAGGAACCAAGCTGCAAGTGAGTAGAGAAAACTAGCTCCCCAGAGCTGTCTGTTTGCCCAGCTCTTCCTGCCCCCGTCCTACAGCAGTGGGAGTGTACCTGCTGTCATCGCTGGTGACCAGGACGCGCACGGCCAGCACGTCCTGTCCAACCACATCCTCCCCGGGGCTGATCCTCACCGCGGTCCACTCAGAGGGCAGCGGGGAGGCAGCTCCACCTGCCATATCCCCAGGCTCGAGCTCCGGAACGCTCTTGGGCTTCTTGGGGGAGGTTGGCTCATCTGTTGAGAGGAGAAGAGGGTCTAGAGAGATGGTGGGAATGGATAGCCCTGCAGGGAGCCTGCCCCTCCTCCAGAGGCTTGGGTGGGGGCTCCAAGATGGATCTCCTCCTCCATGCCATCACTGGGTCCCCACCACTCAGCCCACCAGACAGCCCAGCATTTAGAGCACACATCTTGTGTGCTGGGCATGAACGCACACACCATCCCATTTAACCCATAAAGAAGGGTTGAACGTGCAGAGGGCCCACCCCAGGCCCACCAGACTCTGCACTGCTCTTGTCAAAATCACGCTGTGCTGCTAAACCCAGTGGTAACTTCTCATTTCTCCTCTTACTGGACACACCAGCAGCCTCTGACCCAGCTGATCATTCCCTCCTTCAAGAAGCAGTTTTTCTTTCAGGACAGCATAGCTGGCTCCCTCCTCCCCCATTGGCTATCCCCTCCTCTGATTCTTTCCCTGTTCCCCTTTCCCCAGGACCTGACCTGTTAGCCCTGGAAGGTCCCAGGACTCAATCTTTGAACTGCTTCTCATCTACACTCATGTCCTTGATGACCTTATTCAGCCTCATGACTTTAAATAACTCCAGACAGCATGGACTTGCACATCTCTCTGTCCAGCTTGGACATTCCCCTGAATGTAGATGCATGCACACAAAGGCTTTCTTGGCATCTCCAGGGAGATTGTCCAATGGATCCCTTAACCTCACATGCATGGAAATCTCCATTTCCACCTCTCCCCAAGCCTGCCTCCCCATAGCCCTCCCATCTCCGTAAATGGCAACTGGGGCCTGCCGGGTACTCCAGTCAACACTTCAGTGGCATTCTTGACTCCTTTCGTTCTTTCACTCTTCACTCGAGCTATCAGCAAATTCTGTTGGCTCTACCTTGAAAATATGCCAGGAATCCAGGCACCTGTCGCCACCTCCTCGGCTACCACCCTGGCCCCAGCGACCATCATCTCTTGTCTGGATTATAGATCCAGCTTCTTCTGGTTTCCCCTTTCCCTTTGGCCATGCCCCATACTTCAGTCTGTTCTCAACAGCTGCCGAGTGACTGTTAAAACTGATGTATGATGCAGGCAACCCAAAGCTGGTGGTCTGTGACAACCTGGAGGGGTGGGATGGGGAGGGAGGTAGGAGGGTGCTTCAAGAGGGAGGGGATATAGGTATACCTATGGCTGATCATGTTGATACATGGCAAAAAGCCATCACAAGATTGTAAAGCAATTATCCTCTAATTTAAAAGTATTAAAAAAAAAAGGAAGTCAGACAATAACACTACCTCCTCTCACAATCCTCCAGGGTCCCTGTGACCTCATCTCCCAGTGCTTCCCCCCCAGCTCTCTGTTCCAACCACGTGAATACCATGCTGACTCTCCCACACTCAGCCCGCCCTCGCCTCAGCCCCCAGCTCAGAGGTTCTCGCCTCTTCCTTGGAGACACTGTTTCCAAAAAGCAGGGCTCGCTCACCCTCTACCTTCAAGCCTTCGACCAACTGTCACCTTCTCAAGCAGGTGACCCCAATCATCCTCCTCAAACGGGAACCCACACCCCCAGCTCTCTCCTTTCCTCTTTACTTTTATTCATAGCATATCACACCTTCCAATGAACTACACACATTCCCCATTTACTTTGTTTGTTATCTCTCTCCCATGCCGAGGATAAAGGCAGTGATTTTTGCCTATTTCTTTTTTGCTAGTATTGTGCCTGGTGAAGAGTAGATTCTTAATAAATATCAGTTAAATGAATCAATGAATCAGTTGGTGAATAAATGAGTAAGACAGGCAGCCTGGGCCCCAGCTCCCTCTTGACCACTAACTAGCTCAGTGACCTCCTCTCTGGTCACAGTGGGAAAGGAGTCCTTTCTCCTCGCTAAGGATGACACTGCACTTGATCTTAGCTCCCCCTATGAGCCCCCCCAAGGTCATTATCTCCTCTTCCCTATGTCATTAACTGTCTACTGGATCTTTTCCATAAGTGTTTACATACCCTACCTTTTTAAGAAAACTTTTTATTTCCAGTCCTCCCATCCCCGCTCCAAGCCAACTCTTCTTCCTTCCTAGCTAGTCTTCTTGGAAGAGTTTGTTGTACTCACTTTCTCAATTTCTTCACCTCGCATCACTCATCCCTCAAACCCCTAGAATCTTGCCTATACCTCCACTCTCCAAATGACCCCCAACAAAGTGCCTACTGCCCTCCTTGTTTCTAAATCCAATCCACTAGGTTTTGGGGCCCTCCTGCAGCTCTTGCACTCTGCCCCTCGCTGCTCCCAGGCTCACCTTCTCTCCCTGCCTAGCAGACTGTTCCATCTCAACCATTCTGGCTTCTAGCCAACCCTTAAATGATTGGTTCTTCATGCTTCCACCTAGGCCCTCTCATTTTTTCACCCACACACTCTTTCTGGGAAATGTTATCTACTCCCTAATTCTATTTACCATCTGCGAAGATAATTCATTTTGATTTTAAGTGCAAAGCCACACATTTAAAAATATTATACAGGTCCCATAAAACATGTTTACAAGCAGATGCAGCCAGGTGGTCACTGGTTTGTAAGCCCTGGTACAGTGCATGCTTGTTTGTGAGGGCCCTTCTGCACTGGTGAGGCTGTGGATGGAGGAGATGCATTTGGGGAGTAAGTGTTATAATTGAATACTTGACTATGTAGCAATAAGAATAGCAGCAGCTTTTACTGAGTACTTTTATCGAGAATTTTAGCATGTAATAAGTCTATTAAGTGTCACACAAGATTCTAGGAAAAGAAGTATTATCCCCATTTTGCTGCTGAGAAAACAGGTATACATAGAGGTTAAGACACCAGCACTCAGCAGTATATTTCATCAGAGGATGAGGCCTCATCTGTATGTCTGTGAGCGGAACAGAACCACAAATGGGCCCCAATATGCATGGCGGTTATTCTATGAGTTTGGACTGGGATGCGTCCCCAGTTCTTCAGTCCCTCCCCATAACAGAGTTGTAGTTTGTCCCATGACCTTGCAGTCTTTCCCACTAGAGAGGGGGGGTGAACTTCTCTGTCCAGTTGCCCCAAGACTTGGCCCTGAGACTTGCTTTGACCAGCGGAAATTAGTGGGCATGATGTGAGCTGCACCTCTCAATGTCCTTGCTCTTTGGCTAGTCCACATGCACTCCTGTTTGTTGGCCACGCAAAGAGCTTGTCCCTGGTGACTACTGCCCCTTCAGCCTGGGGTCCCTGACTGGCACATGGAACAGATCTAGAGCCAACCTACAGCCTGGCTGATCCCATGGGAGCCCAGGCTGCCGTTATAGCTGCAGCCTGAAGCAGAGCCACTCAGCCAACCCAGAGACCCACAAGCAAGAAAAATGATGTTACAAGCCACTAAGGTTTGGGAGGCTTGTTACACAGAGTTACTGCAGCAGAGACATGGCTCTATAGCTGGTCCATATGTGAGTATAGATGTGAGTGCCTGTGAGCTGTGTGTGCAGCTACTTGCATGGTCAGCAGAAGCTTTTGTGCTCTTCTCTGATCTAGTTTGCACCGGGGATTTGAAGGTGAGTCAGCCATGGTCTGCCTCAAAGCACCTCTTTCTGCCCCACAGGAGAAAGAAGGTCTGCTCACAAATACCTGCGTTATAAGGTAGACCCAAAAGAGTGAGGCCAAGATGAGGTGTGAGTGGAGGGAGGTCAAACTTCCATGCAATAAAGACTTTGGTTACAAGGCTCCGATTCAAAGGGGCTTGAGGATGAGGAGGATTTGAACAGGGAAAGGAGAGGTGGTGCTCCAGGCGGTGGGCCCCGGGAGCAAAAGCAAAGTGGGAAAGCACTGCCACCTGCATAGGAATGGAAGCTAGGTCCATGTGACTGGAGGGCAAGAGGGTAAAGAAGAGAAACCAGTGGGAAATGATTGCATTGACATCAAACCAGGAAGGGCCTTGAATGGCGAGGTGAAGGGTGGGTTTTGCTCTGGGAGCAACCACTGAAGGACTGGAAGCTGGCAGTTGGCATCGTCAGATTTTCCTCTAAGAAAGATAGCTCTGGTCGCAGAGTGGAAGGTGGACAGGAGAACCCACAAGGAGGAGAGAGGGAGACCAGTGAGGAGGCAGCTGGAGGAGACCTATCGGCTGAACACACACGGCGGGGAAGAGGGGAGAGGAAGTGGAGAGCAGTTTGGCCGGATGGGCGGCTGCAGGCAGTGGAGGTGAGCTGTGCCAGGCAGCAGGCAGAGGCCCCCTATATCTCAGAGGCCAGCCCAAACCAGCAAGAACACCCAGGGTCTGCTTTCTTCCTTCTCCGTCTCTCTCCAGAGAGTTTTGTCTTTGCCAGCAGGGCTGAGGGATAGGTCAGGGTAAGGCTGGCTCCCTGGCTTCTGGAGGGGCGGGGATGTGGCTGAATGAAGATCCCCCAGGGCAGCAGGGTCAGGGCCAGTGTCTCTCACAGGGGAGCCTGGGTATCAGTGGAGGGGCAGGGGCCGGCGGGGGGCGGGGGGGCACCTGGTCATGGAGACTTGTGGAAAAGAAGCTGGTGCTTCTTCTGGTCACCGCCTCGCTCAGGCAGAAGACCCCCAAGAAGGACATGCTCCTCCCTTCTCCTGTCCCACAAGGCCCAGGCGACTGCTGGGTCTCAGGTTCAGTGCTGCCCTAAGAGGAAATCTCTCCACTCACACTTCTATTCCAGATACTTCTTCTCATTCCCCTGAGGATCCCTAGCCACACGCACAGACCAGTAGCAGTAGTTCTGGTGGTACTAGTACTTGTAACGGAAGTAATCTAAAAGCAATAACAAAAGCAGTCCCAACTCATCACCTGGGGCCACATTCCTGTTTAGCAGTTTACATTCATCTTCTCTGATATCCCCCCATCCTGAAAAGATGCTATGATCATCTTCATTGAATGAGTGGGAGAACGTGGAGACCAGAGTAGCTCCACCGGGGCCACCCCAAGGGTGTGTGGGATCAGCCAGCCCTGGACACAGAGCAGTGTGTCTGTGACCAGCCCCAGGTGAAGGGCCCAGGTGTGCTCACTGGTG